GGATAGCATCTGGGTACAAACAGAAAACAAAAGAGATGAGCTGGGTATTGTGAAAGCTCTTAGGCTTGCAATCTGCTTAGCATATTCACATCCAATTACAGAGTCATTCAGAAGAAATATGCCACTGGGAAGCCAGATCAGAAGGACCTCAACGAGAATCTGGCTGCTGCTCAGGGGCTTGCCCACATGATCATGGAATGCGACAGACTTTTTGAGGTGAGCAAAAAAGGCTCTCACCACCTTTCTTATAGCTCTTGGAACTAGATAAGACGCCTGGAACGGTTGCTGCATTTATGGTTTATATCTGTTTGTTCCTGGCTTTATAATGACAACAGTACACTCCACAGCTCTGGTCTTTGCCTCCAAGAAATGCGAGCAGTCAGCTGTACAATTGAGGCTTTGATAGTTAAGACACTTGGGTGACCATGATGGTGGTTTTCATGCAAATGGTTGCATAACCTTCCATTGTCAAATTCAAGGCCAGTCAGCCAGTTATGCTATCTTTGATTTCACCTCAGGATGTGATTAGATTCAACATCTGTGAGCATGTGTGCATTCATGAGCATGCATGTGAGATACTGAGCAATCTTTTTACTAAGAGCTACTTACAGCTTATGAATATAGCCACAGATATGTTAAAGTGAACTAGGCTTCTGGCATTCTTTTGGTGGTAATATTGACATTTGTCAATGGGAAAAGTGTGCTATTGTAAAATAGCACATTTGAAAAATGTAAAGCTATTTCTAAGTCACATTTGATATTTCCCTTAACAGGTCTATGTGCTTTAAGTCTATTGACAGTGAGCGAAGTTGTCTGAGCCCATGTTTTGCTACTCTGAATAAAAATATATTAAAAGGAATGGAAAAAATGAATGGGAAGTCATTGCAATGTTTTGAATAATAAATATAGCCTCAGGAACATATTTGTATTTCCTGGCTTTAGGAAGACCCCTCCTGGCCTTGGGATTGATCTTAGAAAATCATCTCCAACCCTGTGTGGCTCTGCCCATTGCCCATACCTTGGTTGTTGGTGAAGTGACTTTGCTTTCTCTAACTATTAGTCAGCATTTCTTTGGCTCAGGGTGTTGCTCTCTCATGCATCCATTGGTCCAGGTCCCGCATGAGATGGTGGCCCAGTCTCGGAACTCGTACATGGAGGCTGAGATCCACGCACCAACTCTGGAAGACCTGGGGGCTCAGCTGGAGGAGAGCAGGGCAACTTTCCACACTTACCTGGACCATCTCATCCAGGGCCTGCAGAAAGAAGCCAAGGAAAAGTTCAAAGGATGGGTCACGTGCTCCAGCACCGACAACACAGAACTCGCTTTCAAAAAGGTAAGCTCAGGCACTGGAAAAAAACCACCCCCAAAAAGCCAAGGCTAACAATCAGAGATTTGTTTTTGCTTTAAAAATGGATGCTTTGTCCAAGGGGCTTGGCACACATGTGAACAGTTAAGGCACAGGTACCTTAACTGTACCTTCCAAGACCAAGCATAGAGACAGCTAAGCAACCCCTTTGTGTACAGTCAGACCCTGATCCTGTCTCTGCCCCTTAGCTGTGTGATGTTGGGCAAGTCACACACCTCTGTGTGCCTCAGTTTCCTCATTTGCAAAATGGACATTGTAAGAGTATCACTGTGAGAGGAAGGCTATTTAAAAATCAAATGGGTTTGACCGGTGCCCAGTAAGCACTGGGCACACAGTAAGCTTACTGGCACACAGTAAGCACTGTGTGTGTTGTTTTTATTTTTATTATAATTATTTTTCTTGTAAACTTAGGAATTAAAATTTTTAAATTTTAAACCTGAGGCACACAGCATTACTCGTTCCCTTTACGTCATCAGTGATGTTTTTGGAATGCCCCGCGAAGTATGGTAGGTTTTTGTTGGACCCAGGTGACCTCATCGGCTTCTGATGGTATCTTTCCCCAGGTGGGAGACGGGAACCCACTGAAGCTGTGGAAGGCTTCTGTGGAGGTGGAAGCGCCCCCCTCGGTGGTTTTGAATCGCGTGCTGAGAGAGCGTCACCTGTGGGACGAGGACTTTGTACAGTGGAAGGTTGTGGAAACTCTGGACAGGCAAACAGAAATCTATCAGTACGTGCTCAACAGCATGGCCCCCCACCCTTCCAGAGACTTCGTAGTTCTCAGGTAAGCCTGACTCCGGGGTTTGTGATATTCTGTTGCAAAAGCAGAGTGAGAGCTGTTGATTTCAGCACTTCATCGAGTTCTGTCACCTCCGTCCAGCCGCCACCAGGCACACTAAGCCGGCTCCATTTCCCACAGTGAAACCTAACTTCGCTGCATTTATGCCCGACCTCATGCTTCTTTCACCCAGTTTACAGCTCCACCCAGGCTCTCCAATGGCCCCTCTCTCTGTGGAGCAAACGGTTTATTAGGCCATAAATATCGTTCATTTCCTCAGAACAGAGGACTGAGGATAAGCCACCGTTTGTCCAGTTGCACTTTCTGCCAAATTATGCAAATCGAATCTGACTAGCTTTTCTCCTGATTTTGCCTCTCTCCCCTGGGAAAGAAGTCTTCACTGTGTAACTCTCAGGCCTGGAGTGCATATAACTTCAAAACCCATCTGCACGACTTCAGATGTTCGTAACTAATTACCATGCATGGAAACGTTGGCACAGCCCCTAAGGTCCAACTACGCTAAGACACTTGGATGTACAATCGGATTTCAGGACCTGACAAGGCTTGCTGAGTCTTGCGTCTACTACTGAAGTATATTGCTTTTTTTTTTTTTTTTTTCTTGTGGCTGGCCAGTGCAAGGATCTGAACCCTTGACTTTGGTGTTACAAGGCTATGCTCTAACCAGCTGAGCTACCCAGCCAGCCCCTGAAATATTGCTTCTGATTGATTTATGGGTTGAGTTCCAGACCCCTGCTCTCTGGCTTTGGAATGAGATGCTCAACCGATGATAGGAAGTTTGTACAGTACAAGTGCAGTATTGCATCAGAACAGGGATTGAGGATACTAAAGAACCCACATAAAATGTAATTAGATCAATTATATCCTTTTTTATTGAAAACCTTGACAAACCCTGCCTCATCTCACAGATCAGCAGTGTAAAAGTAATCACCAGTGAAATTCTCAAATGTGTATTTAAAATAGTTTCTTGATGAAACTAGTTTGATGGCAAACTAGAAGTTACTTTTCACATGGGCTCTTTATGCCTTTGGAATTGGTCCTTGGGACCCTGACTTTTAAAGGTCAGTATTCCCTCAATATACGTGTTTATCTCAGCAACCTTGAGATCCTGGTAGAGAATTTGGGCAGTTATAAGGACGGCTTATTACCACAGTAATTGGGACATTAGTCATCTTGTGGAGCTCAACTTCATACCGTCACTGTCACAGCAGAAAGTTGAATGGTTGCTCCAGGAGGGCAGCCATTATGACAGAGTCATGCCCCAGTGTGCCTTCTCCCACCCTCATGAGCAGCCTGAGGGTGCAGTCTGTGCCTGGCACCTCCTTCCTTCCCCGCCCAGCAATGCCACCAGCCTGCTAGTTATTAGTCCATCATTCCAGCCCTGCCTTGTGCCAGACGCTGTAGTCGGCTCTGAGGAAAACCACGGGGAATACAACAGACCACTATCCTGCCCTCTTGGTTACGGTTTGTATTTTATCGGGGAGAGAGTCAATAAATAATAAAGGGATAGACTTACTTCTCCCAGGGGGAACAAGTAAGACAGAGAGATAGTAAGGGATGGAATTTTAAACAGAATGGTCAGGGCAAGGTCTCACTGCACTTGGATATTTCATCCAAGACTTGAAGGAGAAGGTGGGTGGATGCTGAGGCTCTGAGGGAAAGAACGTGGCACTCAAGAGGCTTAATCATGACAAGACATGATTCCTGCCATCAAGAAGTCTTATGCTGATGGTGCAAGCAGACGGAAGGTGACGGCGTGGTGAGGACGTCCCAAGGCTGACATGTGTCCTGTCTCAGAGCATCTCCCCGTCCAGGCCAGCACGTGTGGGGCTGGTCCCCTCTCAGGATTGCCATTTTTACCTCTCACTTTCCACCCGTGTCTAGCTCCTCAGGAACTTCCAATGAGTGTAACTGAAGATTTTCCCATTTTATCCACACAAATCTTTACAACTTTCACTCTTCATTATTTATCGCATCGTCATGCATGAAGAAAGGGTGGTCACAGCCACTGGGGAATTGCTGAGCATTTGTGTGATTCCCAAGTTCTTGTCGGGCATGTGTAATAGTTTCTGTTCATAGATGTGGTGAGGGTCATAGATGCAGCGCCCAAGCCAGGACATAGGATTTGTGAAGTAAATAACTGGGATTAAAATAATACAATCTATTACTGCAGATCCTTGTAGTAGAAAGAGAAGTTAGAGGCTGTTACACACATGTTCTTGTTCCTGGCTCCTACCTGCAACCTTCTCCGAGTGGTAGCCCGTCTATGCTTGAGTAGCTCCAGGAACAGGGACCCCCAGGGCAGCCCGTTCCATTTGTGGGTGGTGCATTGTCACACAGCTCTTCTCTATACTGAGCCGAAGTGTGCTTTCCCACCTCTACCTTCCGGAGTCAAATCAACTATATTTATTTCTTCTCCCTCTCAAGAGCCACTCAGGTATTTGAAGATGATTAGCAGGTCCACATGTTTAGTTTTCTTCATGCTAAGCATCACCAGTTCATTTATCCTTCAAGACTTGAATCGAGCATCACCTCCTCCAGGAAGCCTTCCCCATGTGCTCTCCAGTCACCTCCCTGTGATCCCAGAGCCCTCGGTGCAGAGTGGTGTCACTGCACTCTTCACCGTGTTAGAGTTCTGTTTGTGTGTCCACTTCTCCTACTGGGCTGTAAATGTCTTTGTGTCGTTGGTGGCATTTCAAAGCCTAGCACATCGATGTGCTTAGTAGATGTCTGCTTAATGAGTTGAATGACTGAGTCCTAATTCTCAAACTGTAAAATCCCCTCCGTAATGGGCAATGTCTCATAGCAGAGCAGGGCTGAGCCTCAGTTTGGGGTTCCAAACACAGATTTGAAAACTGCAAGACCATTTCTTGCCTGAGTCCAAGAGCTGAGGTCCTTGCTTTGAACGGCACTGTGTAGACTTTACACAAGCTTACGGAAACTGTTAACTTAATCCAAGTAACTAGCACTGGAATTTGAGTCTAGGCTTTTGGCAGGAAAATATAAGTGTAAACTTTAACTCTGTGTTCAAGTTTTTTTTTTCTCTTCCCCATAACTCTGATGTGCGGGTGGTTTTACCAACAGGACCTGGAAGACTGACTTGCCCAAAGGAATGTGCACCCTGGTGTCCCTCTCTGTAGAGCATGAAGAAGCCCAGCTCATGGGCGGCGTGCGGGCTATGGTGATGGATTCCCAGTACCTGATAGAACCATGTGGCTCTGGCAAGTCGAGACTGACCCATATCTGCAGGATAGACCTGAAGTAAGTGTCACTGCCAAGGACGGCAGGCACAGAGCTCAGGAGTGTCAGTTCATGCGGCACATCTGCCAGGGCCCTGTTCGTCATCTGATTTCCTGTTTCACTGCACTTCTTTCTCCTTGCCCTTAACACGCTTTCATGGGTGGTTGCATGTCTCCCCACTCTCTCTCCCCCTTTCCTAAAATTCTAGCATTTCTCCTGCAGCCTTTCACTTGTCTTAATTTTCCGTTTTATCCCCACTTAACATTTCTATGCTTCTCACATGGTGCACGCACACGCGACAGAGCCCAGCGCACAGCAGATGCTCGGTTAATCCGAGTCCCCTTCTCTTGTGCTTCTGTTTTGCCTGTCCCCTTTTGCTGCCCCCTCCCATTGCCCTCCTTTGAAAAGAAACTCACTTAAATCCAACCCCTTCAAGGGATCCATGATGCTACACTGAGTTCTTGGTGTGGGTAAACAGCAATTGAGTTTTCTCGCTAAATTCTAAATTCAGTCTGAATCTTCCCATTTTACCCTGAGCAGCTGGTATCATTTTAAAGCACCCGATGAATACTGAAAAGGCAGAAGGAATACCTGGCAGCCAAGACATTTTCCAGGTGACTGATGACAGAGTGAGGCCCACAGATCCTCGAGGTGGCAGTCCTGAGTTCTATGCAAGTCACTGGTGACCAGGGCCCAAGGACAGCCCTGTCTACCGTGACAAATTGCTGTGATTTGGGAATAGACTTTCCCACTTCCTTTCTGGTTTCTTTCCCCACAGAGGTCACTCCCCAGAATGGTACAACAAAGGCTTTGGGCATCTGTGTGCAGCAGAAGTTGCCAGGATTAGAAACTCTTTTCAGCCTCTCATTGCTGAGGGTCCAGAAACTAAAATCTGAGTTCTCCCCAGTGTGACATCAAACTCAGGGAAGAGGAAGCTAAAGCCAGCGCTTGGGGCAGAGGATGTGCACGTGAGAAAGCCAGAGAAGAGGAATAGACTGAAGGGTCCACGCTTAAAAACGGAGACACTGAGAGGCCGAATGTTGAAGATGCAAGAATTTCTGAGAACTTTCCTAGCCTTCCTGGAGATGGCTACATCCTTACTAATATAATATTTTTTAAAATGAGAACATTTATCTATGTTACTTAAATGGATTATTCCTTATGCATTGCCTAATTTGCTATTTAAAGGCTTCTAAGAAGCATATTCTTAACTGTAAATAAATGTATGTACAGCAGATGTACATATGTGTGTATATCTCTATCTTTACTGTATATATGTAAAATATCGACTTTAAATGTGAGTGTTTGAAAAGGAGCATGTCTGACTTGATGAGTCCCTTCCTCACATAGCTCTTTCCAGGTCACTCTGTCTCCCACTGTCCTGAAAGCTGGGCAGAACCTGCTGCTAACACCAAAGTGTCAAAATGTCTAGTCTGTCCGTCTGCCTCGGGGCCTAACCAAAGATTAGCTAACCAAAGGAAAAGAATATTAAAAGCTTCTTACGTGTTGACGGTTTGTTTCTGTTATTCAAAAACTGAGAGTGGCATGTTGGGATAAAGCAAGGGAAAGAATATTTACTCCTCTTGAAAGCAAAACAGTGGGTGAGAAGTCATCACCAGATTTAAGGCTAAACTATGAGTTGCCACCGGGCCCAGCCAGATGCAATTTCAGTGAGATGCCAGATGCCAATGGGCCACTTGGGGTCAGTGCCAGTGACTGGCACAGAGTTACTATTTCCTTCCCCCCCCAGGAGGGCTGAATATAATAGCTTTCACATATTTACAGCCAAAGGGAGCCTCTGTGTTGTCTCAAGTTTTCCTAAATACATTTCATAATGTTGTTAAATGTCATTCTGTTTGACCAGTGGCCTATTTGGTCACAGTTAATTGGCATTGTCTCACCCATGTATTGCACTGAATTTAACCTTGGATGTCAGACAGAGGGAGATGATGGTCCTTCAGGAGTCCTGCACCATCACAGCTTCAGGGAATTCATATTTTGCTATATACGATGCTCTTAAAATATAATTCCTTAAAGTTTTGCAATCTGAAAGACAAGGTTTTTAACTAACATAAGACCAAAACTATATTTGTTAATTAGTTTTAGACAATATAAACAAGTTTATTAATTCCATGTTTCTTGGTTAGCCAGTTCAAGCTACCTATGCATTGGACCCCACCTTATTTATTATTGTACAGACTAAGAAAATTGACTCTCTTTAACCAACAGCTAATGGATTTAAGTTGTTTTTTATTGTGATTCAACAACTATAGAGAGGAAGATAATCAATTTATTGTGTTTGGTTTTGGGGAGAGAGATTTTATTTGGTTATGACAGAGATTGCTATCATGATTTAACAACTGATGTTGGAGGAAAAAAGAAAAACAAATGAGTGTTTTCAGGGTTTTTTAAAATATTATATGCATTTATTTAATGTTTTCTGTTATCAGTAAGGTGCAATTATTTTACTGAGAGGAATAAAAATGCTATATATGAGTTTGGTATTGTACAAGGAAAATCATACTGTTTGAATTATGACCTAGGAATTTTTCATTCCCATGTCTACCTAAGAAGGTGGTAGCAAACCCGTAATTTTCTATTTGGGCAATGCTCTGTGAGCAAATGCTCTTCTGCCATAACATCTTCAATTTAACCATATATGTTGGATTGCTTTATATGCATCAACAAGATCATTAGAGAAGTTTAATCTGGCTAAACCCTGGTCCTGTTCCAGAGATAGGGCCCTACATGTTTGGAAAATAAGATAGACACACAGAATGAGGCATTGCATCACCTAGAGCAGTGCTTCTTCAACTTTAACATGCATGAGTCACCTGGGGATCTTGTTAAAATGCAGACTCTGATTCAAGCAGTCTGGAAGTGGGCCTGAGATTCTGCATTTCTAATGAGCCCCAGGGATACCCAGGCTGCTGGCCCAAAGACATAGAGGATACTTAAAACAGAATAAAAATAAATATGATTGTATTTCTGATTCCCCCTCCTCAAATTACCTTTTTTATTTTTATGCACATACTAATCACATCACTGCTATGTAACAACACAGTGCATCTTTAAAAAAAAAGGAAAGGGAAAAAAATGGAGAAAAAAAGATGCATCAAGCTTGTTTGTCAAATACCACAGTATTTTATTCATTGTGATCTTGCCAATGGAAATAAAATATGATATTTCATTTAAATATTATATTTATACCTCATGTATATTTTTACCTCAATTGTTGGTATCAATCATCAATGTAAATAAATCATTGCCAAGGCAAATAAATTTATATACATTAAATATTTCCTATTTTCTATAAAATACATGTCGATTTTCATGCTTCATCCTGTAAATGGAAAACTTGCTTTATGAGGAAAATTTCTCTCTAAGATAGTTTGCCACGACCTTGACTCCTTGGTACTTCTGTAGTCAATATCATCTCCAAAATACAAGGATGTTGTTGTCAGTAAACATTCACTCACAGTCTGGGTGCCTTAACCTGGGTCTAAGGCATTAAAGTGATGGGTGGGGATTTTTTCTTTTTTAATATTTCCTTGTTCTTCAATCTAGAAGCTATAAAAACACATTTATAGTGTTTTTATCAAAGATTTAGGGAACTTGGCCGGCCTGGTGGCGCACTGCTACAGTGCGCCGCTTGAGAGCGCGGCGACGCTCCCACCGAGGGTTCGGATCCCACATACAGACTGGCAGCTCACTGGCTGAGCGAGGTGCGGGCACAACACCGAGGGTTGCGATCCCGTTGCCGGTCCCGGTCTGGTACGGGCGCGACACTGAGGGTTGCGATCTGTTGCCGGTCACGAAAAAAGACAAAAAGGAAAAAAAAAAAAAGATTTAGTGAACTCTTTAGCTACATTTTATTTTCATTGAGTGGATAAGAAATATCCTTGTTCTTCAATCTAGAAGCTATAAAAACACATTTATAGTGTTTTTATCAAAGATTTAGTGAACTCTTTAGCTACATTTTATTTTCGTTGAGTGGATAAGAAATGGTGGATAAGAAATAGAGACATGATGAGATGACTTAGACCTGCACCATCAAGCCATGCAGAGCGGCCACAAATGACTCAGGGCCTCTTCCCTTCCATCCCTGTACTTGCTCCCTCTAGGCTTTGCTTCCAAAAACTAAGATAGCCCTTAACTAAGCAAGCAGGAGCTCCCACACATCCTCAGCTACAGGCTTCAAAAGTCACAGCGTCGCAAAGGACCATGTGCCCCCATGAAAATTCTCCCAGCTGCGGTCATTATTCCTTCTCTCATTACCTGAACGTTTGCTCTCATAGGCAAAGGGGGAATTTCAGACCCCTTTTCCTCTTCTGTGTGCCAGAGCACATAGTGGTCACTCCACCAGCCACAGGCTACAGATGTTGTCCTGGGAGTGTGCATTATATGAATTCAAGCTTGATTTGAAACATACTTTATTGAAATTTTAGGTATGAAACTGTTCTACTGTCTTTTGATATTTAGTCACAGAGAAGTTGGTCGTTTGACTTCTTCTCAAGAAGATAACATAAAGGGATAAAATAGACCCTAGCCAAGTAGAGCGCCACACGCTGACACAAAGGCAAAATCAACGTGTGCTGACTGTACAAGGAGTGAAGGAACAGATACCTGACTTTACAGCACTGTAGTGTTGCAAAGCCACGAAGTTTGAACGAATGACAAGGTACAACTTGACATTCCGTATAGGCAGACTACATTCTTTGTAGATTTTCTTAAAGACAGTGTTTACTGGGCCAGCCCAGTGGTGCACTGCTACAGTGCGCCACTTGGGAGCGCGGCGGCGTTCCCGCCGAGGGTTCGGATCCCACGTACAGACCGGGTCCTGCTCACTGGCTGAGCGAGGTGCGGGAGCAACACCGA